TGTCATCACCTACTAAGGCAGGAGTTTAACAAAACTAGATTTTAATCCCAGTATCATTGGTGTTGGGTATCAGGTTTGAAATGATTTATTGGATTGAGCTTTAGTTTCAAATATAGAGGAATTAACTTGGCCTTTCTGACTTCTGATTTGTGTAATAGGCTTGTTGAAAGCCTGAACACTTCTTTTCATACGTGTTTCTTTTAAAAACACGCTAAAATTAAGGCCTTTCTGATCTGGAAGATACTAAGATCAGCAGTACCTAAATTGTCTAGGAGAATGATTTTTTCAAAGTGTAGTGGAACAAATCTTCACTCACTAATCAGGGCAAATCCACTCCATACTATGGAGACTTCTTCAAATAACTGAGTGACTCGACTTCTGGTCTTTTTAGGTTTCTCTGAACCAGTGGTTTCTCTGGCTGGATCATCTGAAATCCTTCCACGGCTGGGCTGTCAAGGGAAGGATGTTCCCTGTGCTCTGGTATTTTATGGATGACTGCAATGGTGTTACCTGGTGCCCATATTGTGATTTTTTTATTATGGAATATTGGAAGCTATTATTTCTGTAGCATTCGCCATATAAAAGACAACAACAGCATCTTGGATGGTATCATCAAGGAGTGAACAGAAAGAAGCGTATTTGTGTGGGGTGAAAGTGGAGAGTTGAGCACAGTGTGGATCTGCACCGGCCCCGTTTCAGGAATTCCTCTGTTCGGACAGGAACGGCTCTTACAACTGCTTTGGAACGGGAGGGTGAATCTTTGAATTAGCTTGTCTTAGGTTTTGAGTTTGAAGCAGAGACTCTGGTCGTCTCTGCATATGATATGAAAATATCAGTGATGTTCTCACCCATCACGTTGTGTCCTTGGTGTGGAGCAAGTCAGGATCCATCTTGGAAACTCTCATTAACAATGCGTTAAGGCAGCAAACTTTCCAAGTCTTCTGTTTTCTTTCAAAGCTATTTAATCTTTAATGGGAAGTGTTTATTTTTATAATAAATCTACCCAATCTGAAGAGGCAGCAAACCATCCTTCTCAGAAAGGGGACTGGTGTCTGTGGAGCTTAGGGTATGGTACGTGGTAAACAAAAAGCACTCGTGGGACAGAAAATGGAACGCCTGCGACTGGCAGATGCTGTGGTTGTTGATGACAGACTGCAGGGGCTTCGATTTAACTTTTTCAAGAATCTGATAAAGTATTTTGTTTGGGTTTTTTTTTAAGCAAATGGCAAGGCTATGGAGTACATTTTAAATTTATCCTTGGATTCACCTAGAGGTGTTTGCCAACTCTCAGAAGGGAGCTTAGTGTGCTCCATGTCTTTCACCCTCCCAGAGTGAATGCAGGCCTTGAAGGTGCAGGCAAAGTCAGACATGGTCATGCTCACGAAGAGGTTAAAATCTGAGGTGACTGAACTGCTGTATTTCTCTAACTGAGAGATGGTTCTTTTTTCTTAGGTAGAGATGGAAATTCTAACTGCTTTCAGCACTTTCTGCTTCCAGGAGACAGGACAGCTGCTGCACTTTCAAAATGTATTTTGCATGATGTGAAGTTAGTTGTCTGCCAGCAGCACGGTGATTATCAGTCCTTATTTTTAATGTGATTGATTCTGTTCTTTGAAATGTGGACTCTTTACAGTGGTTGCTTTGACTGCCTCAGAGCATTCTCCAAGTGTTGAATAAACTATATGTAAGAGCAATAACGTTTCTTACATAACTTCAAAAATCTCTTACTTTGTGGGGCTTAATATTCTTAATACTTTTATCTTTGTGCAACTTTGTTATTATTTTGGAAGGGAGGAAAATGCTAGCGCTATTGACGTTTTTTACTTTGCCAGAGGGTGAAAAGGAGATGAATATTCAGTATCTTCAAATGAAACTCACAAGTGGCCGGTACAAAACAAAAGCTGCTGATTATTCACACAACACGCCGTCAAACCATGAAACTTCTCGCTATCATGTACTGTGAGCGCTGGAAGTCCCTGTGTGTTAATAAAAGTAATAGGATTAGTCCATGAAAGAAAATTCATGAATGGCTGATAATGCAGAGACACTGCTCTGGCTTTGACTTACTGCTTCCTAACCGATTTATTTCTGTGAATGAGCACACAAACATATTTCATACCTACACGCTCCACTAACAAACACGTATCTGTTTCTTGGGAGGTCCATATACTGGGATGATAAATGGGTGGATAGATAGATTTGTCATGCAAAATATTCTCTGCTTTTGACTGTGTTAACATAGCCCTTGCTTTGAGACTAGAGGCTCAGCTGAGGGAATAATTATAGCTTCAGAATCCAGAACATAATATTTTGTTTTATTAGGTAAGTAGTTGTCAGCCGATACCGAAATTGCTTCATTTATACTTCCAGCAATGCCCTAAATGTTAAATATATCAAGTGAGCATTCTTAGAAATAATAATATTGCAATTCTTACCCAATTTTACTCTGAACTTGACAGTTAAATTTTATCTACAAGTATACAAAATACTGTGAATTTTGAAGCCTTTAATTAGTAGTTGCAAATTTGTTTATCCCTTAGCAACTTGTATTTGCATAAAGATTAAGGCCGGTCAGAATGAAAGGGACAAAACATAGATGGAGGAAACATTAATAAATTAGTAATCAAGTATAAAAGATAAGTAGTCTTAGATGTGGTTACCATAAGCTTTATTAAAATTGAAATTCTTTTTTAAAGATGCAGTTAATATTTTCTCCACAGTTGATAATTTCTAAAGAGAGATCTGTCATGAGCTGCAGAATTAGAGAATTAATGTATTGAGGTCAGACATTAATATGTAAATTCAGCTTTGCTTTTATTCTGGATGGCAACAAAAGCATTACCTTATATTTGACCTTTCATTCATTTAGCCTGACTCAGCTGTGTCTGTCAAACAATTAATTTTAAGGAGCAGCTTTAAAGCGTGGGGCTCAGCTTTCTTCTCCTCCCCTTGCCTGTTGGAAATCCCGTGAGAGAGGAGCTAATGGAGGGAACCTGTGCAAGGTTCTCATTCTGGAGATTTGTTTCAGCATTTTTTGGAGGTTTTTTTACAACTTGGCCACAGACGTTTTGCAGGGTTTTTGGGGAGACTAGGGCCAAGCATGAGAACCCCGTGTGTTGTACCCAGGCTCCCAAGGTGAAGCCCTGAATGCCACAGTATATAAGATGTTTCTTGGAAGTCACTTTCTGGAGTAAGAAAGAACTCGATGGTAAATATACGTAGGAGTTTTCAGCAACACTTTGAATCTGACAGGTAGCACCGCAAAAACGTGTCCTTGTGTGTTTTCCGATTGACTGATGAGTTAAGGGTAGAAATGGAGGTGAAAATCCCCCTTCCATTTTCATTCTTGCTGGACCTTGAGCTGTATTTCTGCTTTCTGTAGCTGTACTGCCAGGTCTTTGGTTGTGTGACCCTTGGGGAGTTGTGTCATCCGGCTCGCCCTTATGGTGCGGCGATGGCAGATGGCAGCGAAACACAGAAGAAGATGTAATGGTGCATTGCAAGCGAGCGTGATTTATCTGGTGCTAGGGCAAAAAAACATGTTGTGCAACATTTCCTGGCAAAAATGTGCAGATCACAGTAAAATTCTGTTTTTATAGACACCGAGCCTGGCTGTACTATACCTGGCTAAGCAGCTTTTCTTAATTAGTTGTGTTGAGACCACACTGAGGTTGGGTGGATGCAAGTGTGTTCGATAGTTCTACAACAAATAAACTTTTCTTGAAGTGGTACCAGTGGAGAATTATACTCTGAGTATAGTCAGTGTAAATGCTTGCAGTTCAGGTGAGTGTGCAGAATAGAGAAGTCTGTATCAATTCAGTTTTATAAATATGGACAAGCTCTTGTGCAGGTTTGTTCCAGAAACTTTCACTTTAATTCTAATTAGATGACCAAACTAATTAAGCTCTAGTGCATTAGAAAAGGAAAGCTAAGAAAGTCTTGGGAGGGGGGGAAAGCAAAAGAATGAAAACAAATCATTAAACTTTCTAAAAGCAATAACCTGTAAAAGCAAATTAGGAAGTATATTCTCTTTTTTTTTTAACTTAATGGAAGTACAAGACTTGGCAATTAAGATTACAATTAAGTTTTCTTGTTCTGATTTATACATTAGGAGAGTCTATAAAATACTTAAGCTGAAAGGAATGAGACATGCAAAAAAGGTGGTTTTATTTAAAAAATACTTTTCTAATATGAAATATGGTTTTGAAGCTATTTCAATAAAAGTCTGAAATGGGAAGCTGGTTTTGAGTATTTATCCATGACCTCAAAGGCAGCTGTAGGCTTTTCTCCATAGAAAGGAGGGGAAGAAGGAAATTCTAGGTGGTAGTTTAGAGTCTCTGCTTTGTTATATTCAATGATATTTTTTTCTTTGACCATAATACAGGTTTTTTTCCACATACACAATTTTCTATGACCCCAATACAAATCAAACATAGTCTTGTTTAGTAATTTGACTGTGTCCATTCCCTCTCAATGAGGGAGACAGAGTCTTCTGTGGTTCCCAGCAGTGATGTGTCCAGAGTATGTGTTTACCATTATGGTTTGGGTGTTCTCCTCATGACCATTTCACATTTCTTTTGAGAATGGGGGTTGAAAAATGAAAGACTGTAAACTACTGTACTTCTCAGAAGTTCCAGGGACTGTTACTTCAGCAGGACGGATTTACGAAGGAAGTATGGATTTGCGGATGAAGACTAGGCTGAGAGACATTGTTCCACAAGTCAGACCTTGGTCTCAGCAGGGTAGAGTGGATGGCCAACGCGCCAGCCTCCCGCCCATGCCTGGCAGCACAGGCACCCAAGAGTTCTGGGGCTGCTCATTATCTTTTTAACTCCTATGACATGATTTCTGCCTTAGGGAACCTTGGTATTTGTTCTTGTTTTTTCATTACTGTAAAGATCTCATAAAATGATGTTTTATAATTAATAAAAACACCCTCAGAATATTTCATGTTCTCAGAATGAGGTTAATGTCAGATGCAATTATTTCATGTGCTACAGGTGTCAGGCTGTGGAGCATGTGTCAGAAGCAAACGAAGAGCTGCTGGAGGCAGGACCGGCAGACAGAGCGCAGTGTGACACCCCCCAAAGTCCGGAGGCCGAGCTCCCCTCCCTGTGTCTCAAGCAAGTGTTTCCCAAGTACGCCAAGCAGTTTAACTACCTGCGACTTGTGGACAGAGTGGCTGCACTGTTTATCCGATTTCTTGGTGTAAAAGGGACAACAAAGTTGGGGCCAACAGGTTTCCGAACGTTTATAAGGTGAGTAAGGTGAATTTCTGCAGGAATTGCTTAAAGCGTAGTCAAGAAGTCAGAAATCCCAATCCTGTGGGGTGGCACTGCTGTCCCTGGGCTTCTCTGAAGTTCTGTTGAATAAAAGCAGTGGTGCCCTTTTAGCTCGTGGGTTTAGCAATGCCTTCTAAAGAAACTTTTCCTGTAAGTTCCATTGAACCATTGCGTATTTTTTTAATAAAATAAACGCATTTTTATCATTCCAAGCTCCCAAAGCAGCTGACCTACAAAGCCATGTCTAGTAGGAACCTGGGTCTTTATTCTACAGCAGATCAGTGATACTTCGGGAGACTCTATCTGCAGTCTTAGTCATGTCATGTTCCTAGTAAATCCTAGGAATACTATTGTGAGAAAGTGACAAGTGAAACTGGGTCACTGGAGATCTGGTTCTGCTGGCTGTGGGGGCACAGCCGCCTGCCCCAGGCCACAGGAAGGGATTTCCAAATGCCAGTAGCTGATGCATTGTGCACTGAGGATTTGCATTGTGAAATTGTAACTTGCAATGGCAAGGAACTCAATTTATTTTTTCACATACTTTTTATTTGTGAGGTTTTTTCCCGTCGTTTTTGATGGATGTATCTGTTCTAGTCATGGTACAAATATCTCATTGTCTGTCTTTCATTGACAGTGACAAAAGAAATAAGCAGCAGCAGCAGATGTACTCTTAAAACACAGATCCTGTTTCTATGCAGATGCATTTAGCATTCAGGAATGAATATAAACAATTTGATTTGTACAAATTACGATATACAGAAAATGACTGAAGGCATCTGCTCTATCCACAGACCAGTACAGGATTGTTTCCAGTTCTGTATTTTCTATTGTTTAGTCCAGCCTTAATTTGGCACTTGTTAGAGGAGCACAGAATGAATGCCAACATTTTCTTTTAAGAATATGAAAATTAATTGCCATATCTCAATGAAATAGTGTTTGCAGTTTCCTTAGGCATGTTCAATTCAACTTTTTAATATTAGCAAATATTTTGTTTATGTTTTCCCAGAGGATCTATACCAACTACATGGCCCTTTTCTGAAATGCTGTCATTACTAGTCATGTCAGAAATAAGGTCATGTTTCTAGGATGTGTGCTGTGTCACTTTTCAGGAATAAAATGGTACACGAGTGTGACCGTGTCTGTGTGTGTGCAGAGACAATCCACTCAAAGCTTAGCTAATCAGAATCTCTTCCTCTTCAATAATTTCTTCATTCTGAAAAAATAACTAAAAGGGGAACACTGAGCATGGCTTTAGTCTTTGCTTTGATGCTGCCTAAGATTTTTTTTTTGGACTATCTAGGCCAGACCTGAACTCTGTTTTAAGGGAGCTCTGCTTAGGCAACTAAAGAGTAAGGCTCTTTTAAATTATCCAGGTTTGGAGGTTTTTTGGTTTTGCTCCCCACCCCCCTCTTTTCTTTTCTGGATAGAAATTTTGGCCAGCTCTTTGGCATGTGCACTAGTTCCCACCAGGCTGCCAGACATCTGGAAATCCTGGACAGATGGTTAGTTCTCATATATTGATCAACACTACACTGCAGGCTCAGACGACAGGAGTGTCAGATCTTCTGTACATGCTTCTCACCAAACACCCGAGATGCATCCAGAGATGCTGTTGCTTTCCATGCGGTGTTCAGTACCACACCGGGTAAATCTGTTCCGTGTTCAGGCATGAGCAAGTAATTCTGTGCCTGAAAGCTTTCCTCCAACCCTTTCCAACAGGATCAGTCAGTCAAATAAAAGAGTATTTTGCTGTGCAAACTCTGCCTCATGTAGATAGTCTGTGCAGATTTGTGTTGGGTTTCACAACGTACCAATTAATTCCATTCTGTTACGGCCTCAGTACTGGCAAAGCTTGGGAGAAAGCAGTGTATAATGTTCATGTCAAATTTTAATTGAAATATTTAGGGTTTTCTCATCCCCCCTTTGTTGCAAAACCAAAATAAACCAGTTAATCTGTAATCTGACCTGCTGCCTTTGTGGCTAGAGATTGACATGAGATTGCACCTGCAAACTGGATTTGGGTGCATGCCTCTAAGTGGAGCACTCCTACTGCCCAGAGCCACCTCTGGCAGAGGTGGTCCCTGCATGATCCAAACAGGCAGCAGGACAAGGTACATACAAGAGATGTTTTGGAGGTGAAAATACCATTTCAGATACGTACACTCAACGAGCACTGGTTTGTTTGCTGTCTGCTGTATGTGTTTTATTAGACTAAGCATGTTGCAGTGGGTGTGTACACGGTGTAAACAGTGTAAACTGTTCTCCTGATGTTCTCTCACTTGCCCTTGAAGAATTTTTCCTAACTTGGAAGTTTAAACATAATCAGAATTTCTTTTTTATTTCATCTGTTTTTAACAGAAACTGCAAACTGAGTAACAGCAATTTTTCAATGGCTTCTGTAGATATCTTGTACATTGATATCACAAGAAGGTGGAACAACATGGGAATCGACCACAAAGAATCAGGTAACACTACTTTGTATTTGAACACTACGGAAGTTTGGGTTGGGGTTTTTTTTGCAATTTTGGTAGCTCAAGCACACCTCAAACATTCAATTTAAAAAAATGAGAACAAAGCGTGTACATCTGAGGCACGTACATGTACAACAAATTCTTCTGTTTAGTTCTGTGGCAGTTTCCCTTTATCTACAGAGTAGATCCCTCCGTTTTCAGTTTATTTATTGGAACAAGTCTTCTGCAAGCCCCTTCTTACACTTGCAACTTTGCGTTTGTAAAACTTTTGCTGTTTGTGGAGAAGCATTTAAAACCATTCCCGGTGGATCCTTCAGCTTGATTCCAGTGTAAGAAGGTACGTCCATATCAGAGTAGTTTACATGGTTAGCAAAACCCAACCAAACCAAAAGCTATGCAGGAGCTGGAAATAAATATGCTTAACTTCTCTTTGTGATTTGTGTTCCCCAAAAAGGTTACTTTGGGGTCAAACAAAAATACCTGTATTATTTTTCCTTTCCCAGAGAGGCCCCCCCTCCCTGCCTGACAGTACACTGCCTTTTTTTCATTTTCATTGTCTTTGTGGTGGGTGAGGGAAAGACAATAGTTTCTGCACAAACTTGCACAGTGCTCAGCTATTAAATAGGCTTTTATTACGGACCAGTAGTGGTGCCTTTTTGCTACGAGCACCCCTTGCTGTAATTGTTTGTTCATTCCAGAGCTAGGTCAAACAGCCAGCCCAGCCTTCAGCAGTGAATTACCTCCCCATCTGCTTGGATCACATTTTTAGATCTGAGACAGTAATCTATGAAATAGCAGAGTTCAGGGATTATTTTCTTGTTATTTTAATGGCCTAAATACATCGTTTAATATATAACTTAATTTCTAAAATTGCTCATACATTACTATATGAAATTGAGTCCATAAATTTGGCAACTTTTCCATAGCTTTTGTAAAATGTTGAGTAATTTCAATTGTTCTAATATTCCCATCTCAACAACAAAACACTGTTCCTGATGACATTTTTTGAGCCATTTATAGCAGGCAAGCAGCAGCTGGAGCATTCAAGGAAGGTTTTATGCCACTGCTCTTTGTGGCCTTTTTTTGTTTAAATCAGTGTGGGATAAAGAAATCCACCTCGATGCTGCTGGTGTAAACTAGCATGCTGGTCACAGAGCTGCAAGCTGGCATCTTCCCAGACATTGATTCAAAATATATTTTCATATAAGAAGCTGAACATGGACATCACTGTGTATTTTTTAAAAAAATGCTAAACTTGCAGAAGAACCAAAAGCCTCCAAGTTGAGACTGACTTTTGTATTTGTTAACCCACCCTGCCAAAATACATCTGTAGTTTTCTCCTGCATAAACATCAAGAATCAGCAATACACATAATAACTTGTGAGAGTGCTCTCAGGTATGACAGCAGTAACATTATTTATATATAACCTTCTTTTGAATGTGCTTCTGAAATGTTAATGAAGCTTCTATTTGTATGAAATGGATAAGTATTATTTTGTCTTTCTTGAATGTAGGTATCCTATAATATCCTATTGAGTCTGTGTATATGAAGTCAGATAAGATAAGGCAAAAGGAGAATAAATAAAATAGACATGGCTGACAGAAAGAATAAATCCAGAGCTAAGATTGGGAGGGAGAAAATGAAGGTATAGTGCAGAGGAGATAGTGTGGTTTATTATGTGTGAACTCCTCTACTGCTTTAGGTAGGTTAGGGTCACCTTAGTTTCACAAGTATGTAAGATTTGAATATTTGCATTTAGCATTTCAGTGTGGGTATAGGTAAGCTCTTTGTGTGGTTAGCTGATAGAATTTCACTAGCAAAAGTAATAGAAATGCATGTGAATTTTCAGGCTTTCAGAAATTGAGATTTGTTGACAGTCTCAACGAACCGAATTGTTTTCTAGGTGTTAAAACACAAAATACCCAACCATTTCTGTTGGCTCTGGATTTGGCTCACCTCCAGCTGTAACCAATACAGTAACTTCAAACTTTTTTCATTAAATGCTTCACATGAGTGTCACTTATGAGGGAGAGAGAGAGTGTGTGTGCTACCAAAGGTGCTTTCCCTGCCTGTGGCTCACCGTGACTGATAAAATAATTTACTGAGCTGGCAGCTGCTGCTTTCAGATAACTCAACAATTCCTTTGCAAGCTATTCTACAGCCAAGATCGTCAGCGATCCCAGCTGCAGCCTTAGTTGAGAGAAATTATACTTCAGAATGTAATTGTAATATTTTGAAAAGGTGCCTTTCCTGCAGCATCAATAAGCCAACATTAAGTTTAAAAGCCCAAACCTTTCAATATCTCATCCTAAAATAATCTTCTTAAGTGGATGTTCAAACTGGGAGAGCCAGTTACAGCACAAAGCAGCTATAACTGTTCCTTGTTGCTGGCATTCTGCAAAACCATTGTGGTCTGGCTTCTTAATTAAGAGTTAAAGTAGGTATTACTTCAAGGATTTACATACAATAATTAGTGTTAATATGGAGCCCTTCTTGCCATTGGCTGCGGTAATGTGTTATTAGTAAGATGTGATCAAACAACACCTGAAGACTCTGCACTGCAGCATGTGGCTTCTGCAGGGGACTTTTGTTTGTGAAGGGGAAGAGCAGAAAGTTTTATTACAGCAGAGAAATTTTTTGGCTCTCCACCACTTTCCCTTCCTACACACTTCAACTGGTTTTCTTTCAGTTGAAACAAAACTACTATTGTAGAGTTGCTGGGTACGGCTGAAAAAATGGCATCTTCGCCTTCAAAAGGGAGGCTGAGGATTCATACCTAATACAGTCTTGGCAGGAGGAAAGTAACACGTCAAATAAACTCACTTCTGTGATAAGGTGATATTGGTAATGGGGTTGTCTTTGTAGTGGTGCAGCCTGAAATGCCACACTGTTTCAATAGTTCTACATTTGAACTTTTGTTTTAGGTCTGTCTCTAAAAAGATAAGATTTGAATGACCCAATTCTGGTGCCAATATAAACTTGGTTTTCTCTCCAGGTGGATTGTTGTCCTTGAAGCTCAGTATATTACTGTGTGTCTAATTTGGTTTCAACTTAATATTTGAGGCAGCAGAAATCAAGGCTGCTATTGCATCAATTTAATTGCACAACATCTTAAAATCAGTTGTTGCTGTACCAGTTTCCCTCTGGATGCCAGGCTGCTGGTCAGGCTGATGTCTGTAAAACCAGAAACAGCCTCAAGTGATAGACTGTCACCCGTCTATAACCCGGCCTGGGCATGCCCTGTACTGAAACACTAAATGAGCTTCATACAAACGTGTGTTTCATACAAATAAAACCTTGTCTTTTGGTCTTTGAAAGACAGACAATTAATTTTCTTACTGAGCATTCTAGATGGCTGCTGTTTAAATTAAAAGATGTTAACTAGCATGATTGTATGTGTCCACACCCAGCACATACACATTTGGCCCTGCTGCCAGAAGAATCAGGAGATACTACAATATTTAAAGAATGTCGTTTGCCAGAGAACACTGTGCTATGAATCTCCTGTAAACACCTTTTCCTTCCAGGAATGTGTTTGCAAGCCTTTGTCGAAGCTTTCTTCTGCCTGGCTCAGAAAAAATACAAGTCCCTCCCACTGCACGAGCAGGTGGCATCGCTGATCGGTTTTTGTGAGTATCATCTGGCTGCCCTGGATGAAAAGCGCCTGGTTTGTGGCCGTGGGATCGTGGAGCGCCGAAATGCAGTAGTTCCTTGTCAGACAGATGGACTTCACCTTACACCAGCTGCACACACACCCCTCCTGAATCGCACGGCCACAGCTAGTAAATTCACCGACTATAGAAGTCATCGCTGTTAACGGTGCTAATTCACCAGGACAGAACTGAGAGGTAGTCCCCAGGTATGTACGTACCTGCAGGAGGACAGACAGACTCTTGAATTCCTTCATCCAATAGTTACGATTATTTATTTCAGCTTTTTTTATTTACGCTCTTCAAAAAGTCAGCTGCAAGCTTCATCCTCAAATAAAGCTCCTGGCAGTGGCTCGTTGTTATTTACCTCTGTGTTGGACCTACACTACACCTTGTGTGACAAACTCTGCTTTCATCCCAAGCGTATAGAAAACCATGGGTGAAGACAGGGACCAAAATACAGTGGGATGATAACCAGCATCGTGGGATTAGCTGCACTGATCGAGAGGCACAGTCGTATCAAAGGCATTATGTGGACTGGACATACGGAAACCAAGTCAGGAGCTGCAGAGTCAAATACCAGTTGTAGACTTTGGAAAACTGAAACCTGGAATTATGTTTGTGGTCAGACTTCAGGCTTTGACCCCCTTTCGGTGGCTTGGACTGTATTTGTTAGAATCAATGCAGATTTGCTCATTGTCTATGTACTTAAATTTAAAGTCAGTCTTAAAACACTGAAATCATATTTTGGCTTCTACTTCTTTGTACGTGTCTTTGCCATGACAAATACTGTTAATTTTTTAAAGAAAAACTAAAGATATTTATCCTTTTGCCTCCACAGAACCAATAAGCTCACACTTATTCACAGAAGAAATTTACTTCATTAAGTCAAGTTTGATGAATCAAGTGGTTGTTTTATCTTCAGCTACTAAGCACTGCAAAAAGCTTTACGGTGTAAAGGCCTCAGAGTTCACTGAAATTCCAGTGAAACCAATCCTGTCACTGACTTTAGGTTAAACTAACTGTCTGCTAGGTTTGCTTATTTTTTGCCTTTTGCATGTTTGTTACCCTTTTTGGACCTGCAGTAACATCTAGAGCAGATTTTCTTTGTCTTTGCACTTATTCTTCATTTTTTCCCCTTAAATAACAGTATAAGTCTGTACAAATTAGGTCTGTGTTATTTAACAGGATATTTTGACAAGAACACTGGGCTATACTGCTGGAGTTGTACAGAGTAGTCTTATTTTTCAAGAAATCAACCGTGACTTCCATAATCACAGTCTTCTTGGTGGGGGGCTGAGCAGAACATGAGACTGGCTGAAAGGACAAGAATAACTTGGAGCTTCAGGGCTATTCAGTCAAATTCTTTTTGGTCTCATATTTTATTACAATAATGTACGTCGACATCCGAATTTGATTTTCCTCCTTTGTTCTATTCTTTAAAGTTAATGAGTTTGCTCATGTTCTGGTGTTCCTCGTGCTGTCAAAAATCACAAGGCTGTAGGATGGCACAGTGCCTGGGCATTTACCTTCGGACTGGAGGAAATTACCAGAGCTCGATGTCATGTATCAGAAACGTGACCTTGGAAGCACATTGTCAGTGCAGAGGGGGACTCCACCCGTTTAATGTCACAGACTAAATGTGCACACGGTGTTGAGTGAGTTTTTACTTCAGAAAGAGTTAAAGAGTTTCTTTCCTGACATTAGTTTTAAGCAGCATGCGTTTTTCCTGAGTGGCAATCAGCAGCATGGCAATGCAACGCAGAAGTCAAGCTGAGCCCACAAGAAGTGAGTACCTAGCATGTGTTGTGTCGGCTGTGGGCATCCCTTCTTTGCTTTTTCTTCTTCTGTAACACCAATAAGAGTAGCAGTAGATGATCTTTTTTAGTTCAATGGCTAGGCTGTTTGAAATTTTATGTGTCGTACATAAGAGGACAATTGTAGACTAAAGCCACTGCCCTCAGCCTTGTTTAAGTTTCATAAAGATTATTGCGGTATGAAGATAAAATGCCAAACTCCAAGGTCTGGCATCTGTCAGAACAAATGAAGCTGAAAGGGTCATTTTTTTTCACACTTTCATTGTAATATATTTGAAGACATTCACAAGTTGAAAAATGGTTACTTCTCATTTTGTGACATCTGACATTTGTCTTGCGATTGGCAGTGTGTTACTAGAAAATAGCTTACAGTTGCTCTCATCTCGTGATTGATGTCCTGTACAGACAGAGTTATAGAAGAGTCGGATTTGAAATGCTACAGCTGCAAATGCCTTTCCTTACAGCTTTCAAGTAGTACAATCTATGGCCTAAAATAGCCAGGTTTTGCTATTGTGTAAGCTACCCTGGTATCAGTGGAATAAATTAACTATTGTATATAATGAACACTGGTAAGATCTCTCTCTCTTTGGAGATCTTTATATTCTCTGGATCTAATTCAGATTTTTATAGCCTGTGCATACACAAGGTGATGCATTATGCCCTGTTTATCTCCCACTTCAAATATGAAGGGTCCCTTGTAGAATAGTCAAAATATTCAATTATCTACCTCTAGTAATCCAGTGTTCATGTATTTATATAACTGGAAAACTGAGTGGCATGTTATTCTTGGGGGGGAAGAGGGGGATAAAACAGGAGGGTACTTTAGAGACTTAATAGCAAAGTCACATTTCTCTTCCCTCCCATCTAATGCAATTTCCTCTGCATATTATTTAGCATCCAAAGCCATTTCACGTAGCATTTAAGTTACCAGTCTGTACACACGCAAAGAAAATGACCAGAGACACTTTATTCAGAACATGAACGCTAATGCACTGATAATCTGTTAATCTTGAGGTACCTTTCTAGCAAAAGAAACAGTCCCTGAAAGGCAGTAGGCATTGTGGTTTTTTTGTAGTACTTGTCTATGTATTCTTTTCAGAGAATAACACAGCATGGGCTATTCCATTTAAGACATACATGATCTGAACATTGCATACCAGTGAGGTCTTTCTTGTTACCAGACACACTGGGTCTGGTGTTCCTCACTGGATATAAATCAGAATAAAACAGTTCATCATCTAAGGAAGATTTGAAGCAAGTGAGTCCAGAATTTCAATCCAGACATCCCCCATCCCTGCAGGCTTGTATCTAGCCCAGAAGTCCCCAAATTTACTTGGTGACTCCTTGTTCCGTTTTTGAGTTCTTTCTTTGCATAAGGCTGTTGTGGGCCAAGTCACTTGAAATTTGTCTTCTGCCTAATCTGGATTGGGCTCTTGAAATTTACCCGCCTTTTGCCCAAATTCCCAACTCGCCTTATCACAGACGTGTGTTTTGGGAACATTTAATGTACACCAAGCAAATCGCTCCACTTGCCACGCGCTTTGAGATACTTTCTTTTAAAACACAGCTGGACAGGGAGGTACAGAGCTAATCATGCAATTAATGGTCAGGTGAGAGACCCAAGTCCACCTGCTTCAGTGTTCCTCTCCTCAGCTGGAGCTCCCACGCCCATGCCGTGCTGGTCACTCCTATTTGCTGGCTTTACCCCTCTGGCTGCATTGGTCTTGTGTTCAGCCTGTCATCAGAAGGTCAAAGCAGCCTTCTCAGAGATGGGTGACGGCATTTTGGAAGCCCTCACGATGAGGAAAGATCTAGTCCCTCTCCTGCCTGAGCCTCACGCAGTTCACTGGACAGCTGTATCTATCTCCTCATGCTCTGGGTGCTCGAGCCTCTGTGGTGATTTTGAGGCTTGACAAGGACATTGCTCCCGTGTTGCTGGATGTGGAGCCCTCGAGGGCAACGCTAAGGTTGTAGGAAGAGCTGCCGCGGGAGGAGCAGCTGCCAGCCTACCTGCACGGTGCCTCAGCTCTGCACTAGCTTGCTCTGCCATGAATGGCTTTTGGAGTCACCGTCACAGCTCCTTGTTTCTAGCCAGCGCTGTGTCCGACCTTACTCTGATCTCTGTCTGATAGACAGTGACAATCGGCTTCTAACTATTACCCCATTCCCTCTAATTTGTTTTCTTTTCCATCATGCTTTGCTATGTTTTCTCCTGATCCCCCAGTTTTGTTTCTCAGCTTGCCTAATAAACTGATGTGGTCAGCTTGGCCAAATCCATTAGTTCAGCTTCCTCTGTTGCCGTACAACCGTTTCTGGAAGATGTGTGTCTTTATTTTCCAGGCGAATCTATCCTGCGTTGTCTCTTTGAGGTGCTGCCGTGTACCAGCCTTTGCTGAGTCGTTGGATCGATTTGAGCTGTTGTGTGTTTGTGGTTAGAGGATCGATCTCAGTGGCTTTGATGGGTGGGTGCCGGCCCCCCAGCCTGCCCGCCCCCCTCCCTCCCCCCCCCACCC